TTTTTATTTAGATATTACCAAAGAGAATCCATTGAAATTGACTTTAAATAAATGTCAGAGATGAGAAACAGAAATATAAAGGTTGTGAGGAGGTAAACACCTTCCTTTATTTTCAGAGATACTGCACATTTCTCTAAAACATGTTATATGGGCATTTATATATATAGAATACAAATGTTTAGGCTCAGTCAAATAAGCCATCTACTGTGTCCACATACTATTATATTTTTTTGGATGTCACTTAAGGGGGGCTGTACATACAATCTTGAAATAATGACTTTGATGTTATGATGCTATTTTCTGTCTCCATTAGTGGAGTGGTAGTGAATATAAAGTAAATGTTCTGGAGTCGGGAAAAGCTCTTTCAGTGTTTGAACTACTTTGAGCTACACGTAATGAAAGAAGTATATAAGGTCAGATGAGGCCCAAGATTCCATGTTTAGAATAATAGTTGGTATAGTTACTTGTAGTAATGCAAACTGAATGCCTGTTTTGCATAGAATAGTGGTGTTTTAGTAGTCAGCATTTAAAATATATTTTATACTTGATTTGAAAATTTACAAAATGTAGACAAGAAGGACAATTCCTCTACATAAATGCTGTTAGATAGCTAAAATAAAGGCATGAATTTGTGGGTTGTCAGTGTTTTAAATAGATATCCTTCACGTAGCTGTATACCCCAATGCTTCCATATTGTAGAAGCAAATTTTCCGTCTCAAAATTTGTCTCATGTAACTCCCAGGATATACTCTTTCAGTGAAGCCAGAACTGTGCCAACTGAACAATCTTTTCTTCATTCAAAATTAATTTCATTTCTGGTGTCTGAGAGCTTGTTGTACTCAAGCTTTCTAGTGAAATGATACATCTAAATATATCTTTTATAATATACATACTTAAAACATATGTACAGATGCTTTTATACCTTAGGTCCTATTTTAATGCAGTACCTAGCCCGAAGTCTTAAATGTGGTAATTGTCTGGATTAGTTCTCTCTCGCAAGTGTTTGAATGCAACATGTATGCATATGAATATGCATAAATATACATAATTACACAGTTTTTTTAAAAAAATAATTAAGACAATATTTTAATTTTATGTGCCTAAAACCGTGGCTGTAAGTGTTTGAATCTTCCTTATCTGACAAATTAACTACTTGAAAAGTGTACCTGATTCTGGCCTGTCTGTTTGCTGAATAGATGTGGCTCACACATCTGTCATGTAAAATTTCTTACCTGGACTTCTTCCATTACCAGGACTTTTCATGTCTTTCCCTCTTCAATAAAACAGTTCCAATTCTCTTATGTACAGAAAACTTTGGTCCTTCTAAATTTATAAAAAAGTTGGAGAGGGGAGGGGAGAGGAAGGGAAGGGAAGAGACACAGAGAGAGAGAGAGTTGAGGCTGTTCAGCCAGGAGAAGAAAAGGCTTTGGGGAGACCTTAGACCTTGCAGTACCTAAAGGGATCCTACAAGAGAGCTGGATATATTTTTGACATGAGCCTGTAGTGATATGACAAGGGGGAATGGCCTTAACCTGACGGAGGGTGTATTTGGTTTAGATACTAGGAAGAAGTTCTTTATTCTGAGGGTTGTTTCCTAGAGAAGATGTGGATGCAACATAACTGGAAGTGTTCAAAGCCAGGCTGGATGGGGCTTTGAGCAAAAATGTTCTAGTGGAATGTGGCCCTGACTAAGGCAGGGGATGGGGTGAGGTGTAAACTTAGATTATCTTTAAAGTCCTTTCCAACCCAAACCTTTCTATGATTCTATGATTCTAATTACTTGTATTAAAGTAGTTTGAACAGGAAAGAAGGCATGAATGGTATTGAGTAGAAATCCCAGGGTAGATGCCTAAATTTTAAGATTTTCAGGGTTTTTGACATGATCTCTGATTTGATATCACACAGCTCTGATGCTCCTGTTTATGTTTAATCAGGTCACATGATCAAAAATTCATTCAGGATTATCAGAGACTTATGTGAATAGATGCTTGCCTGCATTCCTTCTCCCCAAAAAATAAGGAATACAAAGGAAGAAACTTGCTGTCTTTATGTATAAATGTAAAACAAATATATAAACCTAGAAGCCATATGTATTTAAAGTAGCGTTAAAAAATTTTAAGATTGTCCTTGCATTATATCACTGGACAGAGGGTTACATCAAATAGCATTTATTGATGTTCAATTAGTAAGTTTGGTCTCTGATCATTTTGATTTCCTTGATCTTAGTTTTCAGTTTTATTTATGGAGTGATTCTGAAATGGATTGAAGGAAGGGGCATAAAGGAAGCTTAAGGTTCACATTTGGTTTAGTTACTGCAGTATTATTCTCCAAAGCATTATAGAATCTTATCACTACCTTCCTATTACATTGGTATGCCTCCTCAAGAGTACCCTACTTTATTGGACTAGTCTAGTTTCTTGGCTGTTCAGAAATATGAGAACATACTAGTCTGTATTTGGTTATTTGTTGCATTATGACAACTGAATTATTTGTCTTGAGAGAAATGGGCATACCAAAGTTTAAACTCATCTCATGAGAAAGTAGTAGGTATCCTGGGCCAGATGAATTGAGCTCCTCAAGCGTGAGCTCTTTGTGGGCTACCTTAGATGTGTACAGCTACACTGTATGCTGCCATGAATCCATCCTCTGAGACTTCTCAAAAGTGAAATCCACTTTCACTACTTACTGTCATGTGCATGACATGCAAAATAATGCATAGTTTACCAAGTATGAAATAATACATTTATTGGGTAGGGTATTATTTTGTGATCATGGGATTGTTTTTATGTGTGTACATACATTTGCAGTCTGACACATAGTTTAGTGATGGTCCGTATGGACCAAATAAATTTCTATAACTTCTTCTTCACAGTGTATTCAGAAACTACTGTTCAATAAATCATCATACAACCCTCAGATAAAAGCAAAATTCTTCTCTTGTAGGGTAAAGATTCCTCAGAGAACTGGAATTGCTTGCTTTCCTAGTGGTACTTAATAGCCCTGGCAAAATGATGCAAATGATTATAAAAATCTTTGCATCTTTTAAATGTTTTTACCCAGGCACTCTTATAGCTATTTTAATTTCCACCTTAGATCTTGTGAACTCTTTTTGTGCCCATAAACTATGGATATGCCACTCACTTGTTTGAGAATGAGTAGAAACAAACAAAAAATCTAAGGCAGTCGTCCTTTTATAGTGTGTTATGATGATTTCTGAAAAGAAAGGACAAACAACTCTCTAACCAGAGCATTTAAACCCATCCCAGCACCCGAGATCATATATTAGAGCCTACTTCCATTTTACTTGGGTGCTGGATGAATAACTATGCCTGTCATCTGGTTCTTGAGGAGTTATACTGATCCTCGAAGAAAGCCAAAAGAAGGTTCCAGCTGTACTGCAACATTCATATTTATATAGAAATGGCATCTTAAAAAGCTCAGACAATGACAAGAGAGCATTGTTGTTATTCCAGTATGACTCTAGTGTGTGAAGTTGCCGTTCTTGGGTCTATCACTTCCACTGAGGATAGGATTGCTTACGGACTTAAATTAATTTGTGTGTGGGGGGAAGGCTTCTGCTACTAATAGTTAAAAAACCCTAAACCAACTAGCATTTTGTGGCAACAGATATGTTCTGCTTCTTCAAGTAATGTATTTCCCAGAAGAATTATCAATGTTTATAAATTAAATTGCAATGATACACAAGGAAATTTACATTTTGCCTCTTAAGATAAAAGCATCTCCATATTTATAAGAAAAATATGGTGTCTTCCATCAGAAGTGTAAAAATATTTATCAGCATATCCTATATCCTATAAATTGTCTTTCTTAGTAGTACACTGTTTTTCCCAAACCTTGTTCTGCTCTTGTGTATTTATTTATAAAAAGATGCCAATAATATTTTGCTGCTTTGGTATTTATGCAGGTTCTTGTAAGGTTCTTTGAATATCCACTGATTTTCTGTAAGAAGTTAATGGCTATAAAAATTACTTGATTATGTGTCTTCTCATATTAACTTCTCCTAGACCCAGTTCCCTTAATCTATGCTGTCTACACCAGCAGTATTTGCTTGTAGCCAACATAAACCATCTTTTCCCATGTATTTTTTTTAAATATCTATATTCTATAAAGCCATTTATATATATTGTACCTAAAATTAACCTATAGTTAAAATTTAAAGATTTTCAGGAGGTCCCTTTTAGTGGATGGTTCATGGCTCACACATAAGATGCACTTAGGAAACTGAAAGGCAAATTTCCTTGTGGTGTTCTTGCTTTATTCTTGATTACATTTTTTAAAAATATCTATTAAGTTTTGGGTTTATTCTCTTTTAGTAGTTGTTTTCTTTCAGAGACCGCAAGATTTGCCTGGATTAGTTGGCAAGATAATCCAGGCCAAAAGCCAGCCCAAAATAAGGACTTGTACAGAAACAGATCAGCTGTGGTCTTAGCTAGCTCCCTTCCATATCATTCTTTGCAAATAACAGTTTTCAAGCTAGAAAGAAGACAGCTGCAGAACCCATGACAGAACAATAGACTGTATTTTATTTCCTGTATTCAAATATCTTTTTTTTTTTTTTAATGGAGAAAGCAGGGGATGGACTCTACTCTTTCTCAACACAGAAAATGCATCAACTGCTTTTGGAGCAAACACTTATAATAATTTTCATTTTCCAGGTTCCATAAATGTGTGACAATGTTTTACACAATTATATGGTGCATGGAAATAAACGGTTTTGGCCATATTTTTTTCTTTTGTTATGCAGGAGAAAAGTGAAGTTCTACATCTCACTTCTTTCCTTTGTAGGGTATACAAATTGGTCTCAATATGTATTTTTGTAAATTGCTTCCCACCAAAGGTACACAATCTGAGCTTCTTAGGTAGCCAGAACACTAATTTATATATACTTCCACGATAAAATTTGTCAAATGAAATGAAATATTTTAGACTGTATTGCCTGATACATGTTTTTGTTTGTTGTTTGTTTTTTTTTTAACTAGTGAAAAAGGCCATAGATTTTAAATCTAGAGGATTTAAATTGTTTCCAGGGAAAGACAACAGCAACAAGTTTTCTATCTGTGAGTGTACTACTTTTTTGTTACTTTTTCTAGTGCAAGAGTGAAGTTTGTGCTGTGTTTGTGTGTTTTCAAAATTGTTTATGCATTTCTGATAATATAACCAGTTTCTCCAGTCTGCATGGTGAATTTTTAAATATGGTTCTACTCTAAAGGCAACCTTTCTATAAATCTGGCATTGTAAAAGGATGTGTTATTTGGTCAGTAATTTCACACTAAATTTACAGTATTTGCAAAGAAATAATTTTTCAGCCTCCCAAGTGTCAGCTGAAAATTTAGCTGTGAACAGGAGATCTGTTCTTTTAATTGAACATTAGTACTAGCATCAAAAGTCTGTACAAACCAAAGCCTGTCCTCATTTACAAATGTACAACCACGTATTTTTTTCAAGACACATATGAGGTCATTTTTTGAAATTTGTTTTTGATTCATGAAGTTTGACATTTTTAACTGATTAACTAACTAGTTTAAAAATTTCTGGAGATGCTTAGGTTTTAATTACAGAAAACAGAAACTGAACATGCTCAACATCTCAGAGGACCAAGTCCTGATTATATCATAAGGAGAAGTCAGGCAACTTTTTAGCACAAATGAAATAGGTGTGTCTCTAAATACATTAAAGAGGTTACTTTTGCAAAAGTATGTGCCATTTTTATAGAGATCATTTTGGACTAGAACCACATTTTAAATATTTAGAAATAAATAAAATGGACTAAATGTTTATCCCATGTCTGATTATACTACATTTCATTATTCTTCGCAGGAGTGAAAGGACTTGCTTTTGAAGCTCCTTAGGTTGGACATGTTTGCACTAATTGTTTTGGATAAAGTGTCAGTAGTGGACCCAGTTCCCAGAATTTAGCAGTACATTTTCGCATAAGTTTTAATTTTTGGTGCTAGATTTTAAACTGTCAACATATTAGATGTAAGTTGAGGTTTTATTATAGAAAGATGTCTTCAAGCAGCAAGACACTTTCACTTTTGCCATGTCAGAAAAATAAGGCAAACCAAAATTCTGTTCCATTTTTGCAATGTATCATATTGCCATATTCAACTTTTCTGTAAACTGCATCACCTAAATAGTTCTGTAAGGCATTTCTGGTTTTTTCAAACTTTGTATTATGATATTTTAAAATAAGTATTCTCTTATGCATATTGAGTAAATAGAAAGTAGGATGATTATATGACAAGAAATAACAGTAAGATAAGTGCAGTAGTGTTTATAAAGTACATCACTGAGGTCTGTTTGATGGCCCATCTGTGCTTATATAATTATAAATGAGATTAGTGCTAATTGTTAAGTTTTCTTCTACATAATCATTAATAGAAATTCCATATTTAAAATGAAGTGCCATACACATGTGGTATCCGATGTGATTGTTATGAAAATAGTGATGAAATTTATCACTATATTTTTGAACGTCTTTATATAATTTCATACATTATGATATTGTATATATTCTACTTGTTTCATTGATTGTGCAGAATAGATTACCTATATAAGTCAATAATAAGTGAAGGTGAAAACCCTGTTGATTTGTACATTTAGTGTTAGTAATCTTGTCATAAGTAAATAATTAAGATTTTATATTGTAATCTAGCATTTGGTTAGCTGGCCACTGTGGTAGCTGAGAAAATTGAAGAGACAATATTTCATGAGAAGCCTATGTATTTAGCTGTTGACTTTAGATAATATTCTCAGCTGGATCTCTACTTGCATTGCAATGACAGATAGGGTCACTAGAAAAGACCCAACGTCCATCATTCAACTGTTAGTGGAAATAAGAGAAGTGAATGCCTATTTTCCATTATGCCTTGTATTAGGAACACCTTTAGGAATTATCATCTAGCATTCTCATCTGTATGTCCTTTCATTATTTTGCTTTTTATTTTGATGTATCAATTATATAACATTCAATATTTAAATATACTAATGCATAGGTGATTTGCACAGACAGAGTGGTGATATTTGATATGTTTCACTTTGAAATAAGTTTGCGTCAACTTCATTTTAGAAGCATTGACCTTAACAAATGAATTCGTCGGGGGATCTGATTCAATCTGGGTTAGAACTCTGGAGTTTCTTGCTCCTAATTTCATGACCAAACTATGAATGAATGCTTTCCCTAGATGCCTTTAAGTTACTACGGGAAACCCTTTCATTGCTTATTGTCATAGGAGCATCTGGGGTGTAAACCAAAAATAAGTAGATAGATACCTCGGGAATTACATAGAGCTGTAGATATTATGTCTGTAAAAGTAACATCAATATAAAATTCATAAAATGTGCAGTTATTTTTCACGAAGAACTCAACAGAAATCAGAATGGATTTAATAATGTTTAAATGCATTTTAGATTTAAAGTCAAATCAGAAATCAGTTTAATGGTTTCTACCGATAACATTTTCTTCTGTATTTTTGCTGTTCTATGTCTTAATTTTAAAAATTTAATTATTTTATTGATTTTATTGACTTTCTTTAACATAAGCATTTATGTTTTTATTAATATTAATAGATCCATGTTTTATAATTTTAAAATGCATTTTGTAGAGTGTTTTTAGGAATTAAACTTTATACAGAAGATGTTAAAAAGCAATAGGATTTTTAAGCTTCCATTTTTGGTAGAAATTGAAGTTTATAGTAGTTCTTGTGCTTTGAAATCCGGTAGAATATTCTCTTTTAGACAACTATTTTCTCTACTACCTGTGTATGGGGAAACATAGTGTGCAAAAAAAATTAATTCTTTGAAATATTAAAATATGAATTATAAGAAATACAAATAGTTATGTTTAAATAATAATTTCATTTTTTTATAGTAAAGAATTTCTTCTTTGTGCATTGATACATGGTGCGTAGCCACATGGCACCATTATAATTTCTTTCATATTATTACCAGGCATCATGAACAATTTCCTAACTATGATTTGAATATATATTTAATATCAGAAAAGTTAAAAGACTGTCACAAAACTGAGGAAGTTCTTTTTCTCTCCTTGTTCTTAAGCATACTTCCTTTCCTTCCTGCATTGCTCAGTGAAACCTAACGGTCTACCCAAAGCTTTAGTGTCTTCTCTATATACACAGGCTACTTATGATGAGTCTGAATGTCTTATGCCTCATAATGAAGCACCCGGATAGTCCAAAGGGAAAGTTATTTCTAAATGCTTGTCCAACAAGTTCCTAAATACTAATTCCACAAGATGGCCTTGTGAAATGCAGTTTATGGAATGCACAATGTAATCATCAGAGGGAGATATATTCCAACACTGGCAGGAACTTGGGTTTCTATAGCCAATATGTTTTCATCACATGTACAAGTATTGGGGGAGAAAAAGACTGAAACCTGAAACCAGGAGGAAGAGTAATTCTGGCCCAAATGTCCCTTGAACACAGAGATCCAGATGAACAGAGGTTATCTTGGTTTGCTATTCAAGCAACCTTGGACATGCTGCAGTGTTTTTGACACAGAGGAGGGTAAATACTGTGGTTCCAGTTGACAATGAGTGATCTTGATAGGTTTCTGTGCAGTGTACGAAGTAGAGATATTTTCCTTTTAAACCTCTGCAACATTTCTATTTGGCCTTTGGCTTCCTCAGGGATACCAAACCAATTCTTCCCTTTCTGGGTGAGTAAGAAAACAAATTTCAAGGAAGGGAGTGGCCTCAAGTATTCTGAATTATAGTCTCATTAAAAGCTGAAATTTAATTAACACCCTTTAGAAATATGGTTAGAATCTACATTTTTTTATCCAGGTACATTATATTTACATTGTAATGTGGTTACCCCAATTATATGCAAACTTTTTCATTCAAGGAAAGTAAAAGTCTAATGCTATGAATCCATTGATCTGGTTCACCAGTAATAAAGATGAATAAAAGTGACTATTTTCTCTGCTCAGTATACATCTCTTGGCTTCATGCCAGCTTGAATGTTTTTTTTTAAACATTCTTCTATCAGGCCATGAATTTACCAAGTAAGAGCAGACCAACCTCCTTTGCTATTTTTTTTTTTGTTTGACTCTGCTACCTCCTGATTCAATGAGCTTCAAAAATTAAATCCAAACATTAATAGACTTATTTTTACCTAAAATTATTTTGGTAAGATACGCTTTTGAAAGCTGTAAAATTTGCAAGAAAGTATATAATGCAATGAAAAAAGAAATAAGCTGAATATGCTGAAGACTAGATTGCTACACACAAGTTTCTGGAAAAACATACAGAATGGTTCATAGGAAGTTTCTCTCTGAAGATCCATTTTAGTTTTTTGTAAGATAAATGTATGCAAATCAAACTGACATTTTGAGTTTACCTTCAGATCACCATATTTTGGGAATATCTACATTTTCAATACTGATTAAGGACAATTCTCTCAGCAGGAGCTTATGCATTCAAGTTTTATTGTAATTCAAGGAGAAAAGGTCAGCTCTTAGTGGAGATGACATTTATTAGCTTATGTTCGGTATAAAATCTTATACCCCTAAACCTGGTGAACACTCCTTTAAATGTTAATGTTTCTAAAGGAATAGTAATAACATTTCCATATGGATTCACTAATATTACAAGCAAAGAAAAGAGCTGATTAGTACATCTTATAAAAAACTTGTTACTTTGGGGGAAAAAATCAGAAAACACATGCTTGGTTTGTTATAGTGAGGAGAAATTTGTGTTGAAACTAGGTTATATGGGTGAACATATTCTGTAGAAATATACTTTTTCATATTTGTTAATTGCTTAACTCTGTATTTCCTAAAAACTATATTATTTTATCTTTTTTGTTTATTTTATTTTGTTTTTGTTTATGTTTCTGTTTTTTTCAGTAAATGAGGGAGGTATTAAACAGGCGTCCAATTTGTGTCCAGATCCTGGAGAACCAGAAAATGGAAAACGGATAGGCTCAGATTTTAGGTAAAATATAAACACTACCATTGTATCATTTCTCTAATTCTGAACTTGGAAAATGCTTATGTTACAAATGTGTTACTGTTGTTGACTACCCTTTCAATACTGATCTTCTCAGTAAAAAGTGAATTAGAATTCTGTATAGAATTATGGAATGCAATATAGCCGGTACTTAGTATGTACAGATAAAATACCTACTTGGAAGAGTGCATATATCTCTGATAATCTGGGAGAAATTCTATTGAAGGTAAGTAAAAGTAATTTTCTCATGCATATACTGTATTAGGTTTACAAATATTGAGTATATATGTGGCACTGGAGGTTTTTGTGAAGCACAAAACAAAACTGAATGCAACACAAGAAGAATAATGAAACCTTAGAGAAGAGATTTCAGAGATTATAGAAATGTTAATTGGAATCTAATATTATTTTATTTCAATATAAAAATATTGCATTTTTGACAATATGTTTTTCAAGAGCCCAGAATTTTGATATATGCAGTTATATTTCCCTAGTAGTCCTCAGAGTGGCTTAGCACTCTTAATACAGAATAATTTTTTAAGTAATTTTTATATTATCCTCTATTCTCAGCTGTCTTTGAAATTCCTTATTTTGTAGGGCAAAAAAAAACTTTCAGTACTCCTTCAAAACATTTTATGGCTTTTTGTCAGTGAACATATAGGACTCCTACTGTCAGGATCAGCAGTGGTTGATGAGCAGAGAGACACATATACAGACCTTTTTGAAAATGTTTTGAATTAATTTTAATATCTTTTCTATCTGATTTCTTTCCTTTTCAGTTATTGAACATTTATTTTTAAAAGGGCTGAACATGCATATTATTTCATATTTTATATATAGACATTTTACAATGTTTAAAAAGAATAAATATAAAGTCATGATCTTGTTTCACATCATATGCTAATTTCACATTATCATTATGTTTCCAGATCTCTTCATCTAAATGAGGAAACAAAATAGGAAGTAATAAGCAGAAAGGAAATTGTTAATTTTTACATTAATTGGTTTTATTGCATTCAGGTTTGGTTTTTATATTTATTTTTTCTTTTACATATCACACAGCACATTTCTAAACATTTGAAAATAATAACTGCTAGAGTAATCTGGGAGATGAGCAAAGACTTCTTGAAATTATGACACTTCATTCTTTTGCATAACTTATTGTACTTTTTTTGGTGTGTTTTCTTTTGTCTTTTCTCCTTGTAATCAAGCAGAACATAGAATTGAGAATGACATCCTTAGTAAACGTTCTAGCTAGCAGTCAGTTAATTATTGTTATTTCTCATAGTTATTATAGTTTCTCTGGTTTTGAGGAAAGAGGAAGTTCAAGGTGCATCAGAGAAAGCTTTATAATTGATTTTAAAAAAATGTCATTTCTGATATCAGCTGGCAAAAAACCCTTGTCATTTTCAGAGAGATAAAAATAAATTAACTGCATTTAACTGTCATGCTTTCTTAGACCAGTTTTTTGAATTTTAACTTCAGAAATATGGTTGAGAGTGAAAGCCTTTGACAGAAAACTACCAGTCCTTTTCTAGTGTTATCTCTGCAAGTGATCGCTGAAAGACCAAGATTATTCGAGTTAAACCTATTTGAGAGGAAGATATGATGATAATGATGCCCTCATCATTCTTTTTGGACCAAATTATTAGGATTTAATTTAACATTATTTTTCACTATACACTGTGATGATGTGACTATCAAACTTTCCTATTTCAAATAAATGTATGAGAAAATAAAAGCAGAATGTATTCAAATTACTAAACAGTAGTATACAAGATGTACCAGACATCAGAGTCAATATATTTTATAGTGTTTCTTTTCCCCAGTTTCTCACTAATCTCAGTGACTTTCTTCTCTTTGAGAAAAAAAACAAATCCAAATTATCTGTGAGGGAAGATCAGCTTTTCTGTCAACTCCCATGAATGTGATACTTAATGCTTATATGTATAGCATACTGATAAATCCAATCCCTTTATAATGGAAAAATAATTAGTATGTTTCTAATGAAAGTGAAAGAACATGGCTCATACATGCAGTAGCCACTGAAAGTGAAAAGAGAGAAAGTGAAAAGATTTGTTCAGTTTAATGACATTTTTAGTGAGCAAAAAACTCCAGCATAAATAAACTTCGGTTCAAAACAAAATAAAAAAAGATATATTATTGTGCTCTTGGTCTTATGTGGTGTAATTCTTGGGGGCCAAGATGTTTATTTTGGTGAGGAAGTATTTTTTGCCTTCCACCAAAGAATGTGTTTTCAGATTAAATTGAACTTTGCTTTTTTATTCTTTTCTATCCTTATTTTGATCAATTCTTGACACTTGTATGGAAAAAAACAAAGGAAAGCAAACTACAAAACTCAATAAATTAGCATTTCACTGATCTTGTTCTTAAGAGCAGATTCTAGAAACAAGTCTAAAATCCTCTGATTTTATGGGCAGTCTGCTTGCTTCAAGGTTTCTCTAACAGGTTGATTACAGAGCAATAATCGTTTCTGAAAGCACAGGCTTCTCAATACCCTCAGTACCACCTCAAATTTATGCTCAAATACTGTCTCCAACTAATTTAATGCAGCTAAATATTTGAATTTTCATCGTTCAGTTTCTTTCAAGATAGAAACAATCTGGTCTGGATAATCTTATTTAAATAAATCCAGTTTGGTGCAGCATCTCTTTAATAGGCAGGTGTACTCTGAGTTTAGCTCTCAGAATAAAAAACAAATCAGAAAGGACTAGTTTCCTTTGAAAAGATTCTTTCCACTATTTTGTGGTAGCCTATCTTTAAAATGCAAAAACATTGCATTTGGAAATAGTGGGAAGACATATACCCACACATGCGCACAATTTCTAGCCACTTTGTTGGCAGGTAATAATTACTTACTCTTTTGGTTATATTCCTCAAACATATTAGGGATAAATAAGGTGGTTTCCTATCTAAGGCTTGTAAAATGTCTTATGAATGTGAATGTTGAGATTTGTGCTTCTAAAGAGCAACACTGGTGCACATTAGTGATATACATACTTTATCCCTAGTTGAACACTTCACACATTGATAAAACATCATGCAGTGAACCAAAGCAGACTAAAAGTTTTCATCATACTTAATAAAATTCCTTTTTGATTTAACCTGGTTTCAATTTTTGCCCTTATCATAATGGTTGTTCAGTTGATTCATAAGCTTCCCAAGTAGAAATATTCTAAGTCCTTAAAAATAAATACGACAGTGAAAGAACATTGAAATGTTTACATTTAGTTGAAAACATATAGTACTATTGAAAATCTTTTCCAGGTTGTCTTATATCTTATACTTAACCTTTCCTGTCTTGAGGTCACTCTCTCTGTAATGAAGGAAATAGCTTTACTTTAAGCTTGTGGGGCTGTTTCCTTTCTGAAAAGGAAGTGAAAATTCCAATTACAATACCTTAATTTTAAAACACAGTATTTTGAAGAAGGGTTTAGTTCTATCTTTATTAAGATAAATCAAAATCAAATTTCGGCTCAATTAAATCTATTTTAGAGACAAACATGCTCTTGTCATGCCTCTTTAGTTTTCTTCAAATGTGAAGGTGTAGGTTTGGTAGCATTTTATTGCAGTTTCTCTCCTGTTCAGATTATAAACACTATCTGCTCTCAGCACTCTTGCATGTTCTTACATAGTTCTTACACAGGCTTAGAAAATCTGTAATGCAGGCTCTAAAACAAACTGCAGGATTTCATGACATTTTTTGGGACCTGGAACTCCATGTTCACCCTTTTCGATATTTTTCTAATGTGAAAATTCTCTATGGTTATATCTTGCCATTTTAAAGGCTTCATTTCTGATGCTAGATTCCTATTTGAGCATAATAGGCTTTTGCAGGTTGAAATAAAGTCAAGATGACTTACAGGTGCCAGCTTTTCCTGTACTGAGAAAAATATTTTACCTCAGAAAAAAAACTTGCCTTCATGGAAGTTTCTTAAAATTTTAGGTGCACTAGTGATCATTCTGTTGGAATTTCCAACAGTTTATTTTACTTTAACTTTCATACTGTAAAATACACATCTTTTCCATGAGTGTCCAGTTTTAAAGTCAATGCCATTATGGAAAACATGAGAAAGATGTAATAGATAAAGAGAAAAGTTTTACATGTGATCTTGTAGCCATTTTTTAATCTTTTTCTTTTTTTAAATTTTGGAGTTTGGCAGGCTTTTTTTCTTTGTTTATAGTGGAACAATCATATCCAGATTGAATTATACTTGGACAGGTATTTTATTATGAGACAAACATGTTCCCTCACCACCATACCAAAGTTCTGTCTTCATGAAATGACTTAATGAGTCCATCTCCATCCCTCTATCTCTGCAGTGTGGTCCAACGAGTATTTTAAGATGAGATTCTGATCAAACTTGGATTATAACAAAGTAGTGAATGCTGTCAGACAGACACAAAGATGTTAGTGTGGTCTCAACAATAATGATTCTGTTGAGACAAGGAAGCATATGAAGTTTGTATTAAGGACAATTTATTTTACCAGTGGGTTGAATTACAGGATAAATAAAGATAATATCTTCTTTCAAAACATTGGACTTAATATTGCAGATGCAGCCTCTCCAGTTGAGTAATAATTTCACTTGATCTGCTGCCACAACTTCTAATGCTGTGTATATAGTTTGCTTTATTCAGGATGAAAATACATTACTGATCAGTAGTGCAGAACTTTGTGCCTCTGCTGGTTGAGTTTCATGAAGTTTTGTTGGCCCAGTGCTGAACTTTCTCAGATGTCTGGCTTAAAGCCACTTTTCCTGCTTTAGTATGATCCATAGATTTGCTGGCAGTTCATTTTGTCTCACCATCAAGGTTGAGGATGAAAATATTAAACAGCGTAAGATCACATATTGACTTCCTAATGCTCAGCTTATTACTGACCAGCAGCTGAATATAATGCTGGTGATTCCTACTCTTTGAGCACAGCTGCCAGGCCAATTTTGAATATACCTATTCTGTATATATTCTGTCACCTCTCAAAAGATACTGCTGAAGAGGTGCTGTCAATAACCTTGATGCTGAGCCTTGTTATATTGAACACTATTATGTCTACCACTGGTCCATGTAGCCAGTCATTTAGTCATAGAAACAATTGAGTTGATCACATATAATTCAGCTTTCAAAACTCTGTGTAAGTGCATTTTTCTCTTCATGCTTTCCTAGAGCACGTGTTTTTCTTCCAGAAACTGATGCAAGGTTCCTAGCTTCTCTTTCAAAAAAAATGTTAGCCTTTCTACAGTCAGTAGGATCTTCTCCTCGTCACCATACTTTTTCTTAGATGATACCAACATTGCTTAGAATCAGTCAAACTTTTCAGCACCTTTTGGTGAAAGCTGTCTGTCCCTCTGCCTTTGAATACTGACATCTTCTTTACCTGGTGCTCTCCAGTATTGGCTGTCCCTCTTCTTTGCAAATCATGTTGGTACATGCAGATGCTTAGGAACACGTGTTGTAGAAATGGATGCAGAAAAGGCACTTAGCAATTCTGCCTTTACTGTATTGGATTTCAGCACAAGGTTGCCTCATACATTTATTAATGAACCAACATTGTATATGAACTTCCTTCAGTGACTAATATACCCACAGAAGCTCTTTTGATTACTAATGTGCTTTACCAGCCTTAGCTTTGGCTAGGGTCTGGTCCAAAGAGTCCAATTTAGTCACCCAGGGACCACTGAATTAGTAGCTCCAGTTCAGAAAATTCATTAATCATGAATGATTGAAATCCAGTAATGATCAGAAGAAGAACTATAAATGTTTGCTGTATTCTAAAGATTTTCTCTAAGGATTTACTTTTCATCACACTCAGTGTGAACATACCGGACTAAATGTAACCAGTCTGGCCTTTGGCTGCATCTAGACAATTTTGTTTGTTTGCTTAGTGTTTCCTGTTTAAATCAGTCCATGGTTAGTCAAAGCAAATATATTTCCATGTTATTTTTCTTCAGGTGGTCCTTTTATTTTAAATAATCAAAGGGGTTCAGATTTTCTCAACGTGGCTTTCTAAAGCAGATATATTACTGTGAAGATGTACTCTTGAGGAAGATATTCTTGTCTTCCCAATTGCTACCTTTTGAATTTTCCTAACAATATAGTCCCTGCAGTAGCTGAGTATAATTTTTAACATTAGTGATAGATCATCTTTCAGTGTCACAACTTTGAAATTGCCTTCAACTCTGTGCTCTGCCTTGTAGCTCTTTTTCCTCAGTCGCATATAGAAGCTTTTTAGCCTTGCCTTGCAACAGCCTTTACATTAGGTTTGCTTTTTCATTTTCTTCAGTTTTTCACTTTTATATCTTCCTCTGTTTTTCATGGACTTTGCAACTCTTCTTTATCCTTTCTTTCACAAACACTCTTATTTCTCATCAGAACAGGATCTGCTTTTGAAATAGCTTATAGAGCTGTTACTCACTATCAGTTTCTCCTTTTCTGTCTGTTCAGGTGACTATATCGTCTTTCATGTCCTCATTTCTTTATATCTCTGTAAAGCCCAGGTACTCCCCAAATTTCATCAGCTGTATTGTGCTGACACCATTCCTTTCTAAACATCTAGCATTTCTAACTTCCTTAAATTATGTTTGTTCTATTAAGTATCAGTTGACTTTAGTAACTATAGCAATCATAGATGCATTTGAATTGATTACCTAACAAAAGTTAATCTCTAGAATATGTGCTCTGTCTTTGTATGTTGAATGATTGCAACACTAAAATCCCCTTCTGTAAGGAAAGAAAAACTGGGCTGATTGAATGTAAATGTAAATCTAGGCAGAATTCTTTGAAATCAATGACTCTGTGATCTGATTTTTTTATATGTTTGAGTAAGAATGAAATGCCCTGCTACTATTCAGTATTGATGGTATGTATATGAATTTCTCAATGACCAAACTGTTAGGGAACTGTACCAAAACACAAAGAAGCCCAAAAACCTCAAGTAATTCCTTGTCTGCATAGACAATTAATTGAAAAAGCTATATTCTTCAGTTAAAGAAGAATTGGTAGAGAAAATCAAACTGTACATAACTTTGAGGTAGTCAGATTTCTGGATTTATTTTTAAAAGCCTCATGTACAGATACATATGTATACAAAATCATTGGGAAATGACAATGAAATACAATGGCAATGACAAATGTCATTATAGAATAATTTACTTCAACATGCTGTTTGATTTTATATGGGGACTTTCCTTATTCCCCTGTGAATAAGGATTACTCTTCTGTTTTCACAGAATATCACCACATCTATATTTAGTTATGTTATGAGTGGGTATTTTTGCCCTAGTGCTTTATACATAGTAACAGCCATAGTATTAGCTGTGCCTAGACTAGGGAATACCATTAGTCATGTAACTTGTTTTAGGTATTATATATAAACGAAACATCTGTTAATAGTAGGCCATCTAAAGATAAGGATAACTAAGGAAAATGGATTTGTTCTTTTCTACTTTTACGACGTTTTCCTTTTGGACACCTTTTCAAAAGATTTTGTTGTGTTTCTTGTTGTAAAGTGCTCATCTTGATTATATGGATGCAAGTATCTATGGAATCACTGGAGTTTGGTAAAGAATCCTCTATGTGTTTTTTCTGCAACGATTCATCACAGTTTTAATACCAAAACAGAAAGTTTTATCAGTACCCACTAGGAGGGTGACATAAGCAATGATACTCCTCCAAATTTCACTTCTTAAATATCCTTCACTACCAAATACAACCATACATGAGGTTTTCAAAATACTAATTCTTAGCTTAATTCACTCTTATCAGAATTTTTAAAATAACATCTTGGCTTTATTGTTTTGGGTTTATTCCTTCTAAAACAGGGAGGAAGAGTGTTTCCTAAATGCTTTTAGTTTTTGTCTCAAGTGTAAGGCAACACGCTGAATTGCAGATGTATGATTCTTCCTCATCAGTCTTATATAAGGAATAGGATAATTAATAACATCATCTTTTAATTAAAAAATGTAACAATAATAATTTCACAACTGATAAGGTATCAGGTGCTTTCTGAAGACCTTCGTGACACTGCAACTTGTCCACAGTCACATTTTATAGAAATACTTTATAGTTGTGAAAGACAAGCCTTTAAGAACAGCATATTGAAATTATGAAGTGTATGATAGTGATGTCAAAGAAAGGCCTGATATATTGACTATTTTTAACTGAAATCAGGATTTGAAACCATAATAGTATTATAAGAGAAAAATTATCTCAGGAATATACATTTACATGTTGAGTTAATAAACATTTAGAAACTGAAAAAAACCCCCTACCAATCCTCTCCTCAAAATGACGTAACAAACTAAACCAAAGAAAAAGCTCAGTTTTATCTGGACTTACTTCTTCTTTTGTTCTGTGTGTAGTTTCCAACACCAAATGTCAGCTCCATATGAAAAAGTAAAAAATGTTTTGAAGCTGGAATTAAAACTTCGTAAATAATCACAGCTAAATAGCAGGAAATATATTTTAAGAAATTTTTTTAGTTTCTTCCATTAATTTAAGAAACATATGCCAATTAAAGGAGAATATGTTCATATTGACATTGTAACTTACATTATATGGTAGTTTTTACGTGCAGAATCTTGTTACTGGCAAGAGAAACCCGTCTGCTTTTATGGAATCAAGACATTACTGCCAACATAATTAAAACCTGAACCTGCTAATCAAAAGATAAAAACCTGCTATTACTAGTAGTTATACACTAGTGCATTTCTAGTCCAAATTAATATAGGAAACTCTTATTAATAATATACCACATTTTAATACAAGAAACATTATTAATCTAGCCCTTTTCTCTGGTATTGTGCTTCCCCTTCCAATGCACCCTAGTCCTAAAGTCAAAAACACCAGACTTCCTCAAGAAGAATCAGGGGTGGGAGACATTTGCAGCAAATCATCTGTATCCTGAGATCTTCACTGAGAGGAATAAAATGTTTATAATGGGGATTTCTTCTTTAGTCTTGCGATTGACCTTTTGGCTCTTCTTCTAGGTGATTTCCTTATGTTTCTTTCTCTTTTCTGGCTTCAATTAACATAAATAACTACTGTTTGTTGCATAGCGCCCAGGTTTGTTGAACCTCTACTATATGGAAGTCTGAAGTTAGGTCAGAAAATAGTCACTTGACCTCCAAACAACTGTTAAAAAGAGGTAAACCAACTCAGGCCAAAGTGAGCCCAGTGAGGTCTGAACACTGTGCACTGTCAGGCTAGTACATAGCCTTCAGCCTTTTATTACTGGGAGAAAAAATTACTGGATTACATGTTTGCATTGTTTGTCTGGACTGTCACATCTAAAAGAATGGAAAAAATTGACTGCTACTGATTTGTAAAAAATGCTTCTTTTTATGTCACTGTTTGATTTTAGTTTGGGAGCCACAGTACAGTTCTCTTGTGATGAAGATTACGTGCTACAAGGTTCCAAAAGTATCACCTGTCAGAGGATAGCTGAAGTTTTTGCTGCATGGAGTGATCATAGACCTGTGTGTAAAGGTAAAGAGGAATTATTATCCTTACAGTGACTTGTCCATTTCTCATCTATCTATTGTTCAAAAGACAATCCTATTAAATTTATATTTTGTAAGTACGTGGATGTTTTTATCCTCGTGCCCTCACTTTCTTAGTGAGAAAGGATGTACCTATGCTGTTTTGTTTAACATGAACTGTCTATACTTCAGTGTGATTATTTTACTTGGGAAGTTATATTATGAAGTTTTCTTCGTAAGGAGCTGATGAAAATCTATCACATGTTGAATATTAAGACTCAGCATGATGGATTTCAAAATTGCAGTGATTTAAGCATCTTCATTGCATGTTTTATAAGCAGATGAGAAATACTTGAATTCAGGATTGGTAAGGAATAGAGAAGTCTACACTTGGATTTGACCCTGACCAAACAGATAAAGGGCAAAAAACGAGTAGGAGAAGAAAAATATGAATTGACATAACTGCAAAACCTAATATTGAAGAGCACAGTGTGTTTGCAAGGAATACTTTGGTATGGAAAACAGAAGGGACATGTATCTTTTAATTCAAGCCTATGGGTGCTTACAGTAATGTCCAGTGATAACTGTGAGATGTTTCTGAACAGTGGAAGAGGGAAAAAATATCTCAAGTGTAGTATTTAGATGGTATATATTAGAAATCAACAAAAGCTGGAAAAATACACAGGTGAATTTTTTGGTTTTTTTTTCCTTATACAATCTATATGTGACTCTCTGGTTAAGAATGAAATGCTAGACATAGCATAGAGTAATCAATTGTCCAAAGCTGAGATAAAGAAAAACAGAGTAGGTGTGGCAGCTACAGAAATAGGTTTACTATGGATCATGGTAGCATATGCTTCAATAATGGCATATCACGTAAATAAGTAAAAGGTTTACTTGTACATACACAAATATACATAATATAAACATTTACTATCCTACTACTGTATGTATAATTTATAGAAATGATGCTCAGTATGACATATATAGCAGAATTAATCATGTAATGCACATAAATGAAACCTTTTTTTACAGTAAAACTAGTAAGGCTTTAACTAGTAGAGTTTTTTTTCATTGTATTCACATATCCTAAATTAGATACTTATTTTAGGATGGTAGTCTCCTAATCTTCCAGTGTAGCCAGCTGGGTGTTGTATGTTTGTATAAGGGTGTTCTCACACACCCCTCTATGCAGTGTAACACTATGTGTTAGCCTTGTCTCAGTCTTGAATGGCTCACTAGAGGAGGTTGTCAGGCACAGCTGAGTAAATCAAGGATTCTGTTTCCCATCTCAGGTGCCTAAAGCTATGCAATGTGAGTACCAATGTTTCAAGAAAGGTGTGGACCAGTGAAAATAGGATAGATGAAAACTATGGAAATATCAAAATTCTCTAAAATATAGCTTACTATAAACAAGTGGGAAAGAACTGGGCTGATTTGATCTAGAGAATAAAGAATCTAGTGAAAGAAGAGGGAAAGTATAAAATATGATGGACTACAATTGTGCAAAGACAGGTTTATGGTTGGACACTAGCAAAACTTTCTGAACTAAAGAAATTTAGTGTTGTGAACAGAAGTCTTCAATAGCTTATGAGATATACATTTATCCGGGAGAGTTTACACTCATGTAGTCTCATATTGACCTGGGCCTAAATATATTTTCAAAATTCTTCCAATCCATATTTTCTGATTATAAAAAGAAAGAACACTCAGATTTCAAAACTGATCCATTTAAAAAAAGAAAAAAAGTCACCCTGAAGATCACATGTAAACATGGCTGAATTATAGGATTTATCTATGTATTGCATGATAACCATGATAAAATGACATTCCAAAGACACTTGGCTTTCATATCCCACATAAAGAGCAACATAAATGATAGCTGTACAGTTTTCAAAGGCAGCTCGGTAGCTTTATGGACTATGACCTTCAAGCACAAATGTTTATTATATACATTGCTTTTCACTTTGGTGTAAGTTTTGAATTCTGAGTAGCAGCAGGTATCAAAGTACTTAAGTATAAAAGGTTAACCACATTCTTCAGTCAGATTTTTCCCCCAGTATGACTAAGAACTGACATTGCATAATGATTTAAAAATCATGTCAGTAAACATGTGTCTAATTTTAAAATAATCATTAATACTGGACTAGGAATAAAAAGAAAACAACATATATTCATTAGAATCTAGCATTGTTCGGAAGCTTCTGTCTAAACGTGAAACTTCAGAACATGTATTAACTAAATGTCCAAACCCACCATTATTCATAGGTAGAACATGTGATCCAAAACTCAAAAGACAATGTTTCACTTCTTTACATTCACTGCTTTGTAGAACTAACTTAATCCACCTTAAAAAGGAGATGTCCAATATTAAGAAAGTTATTAGGAATTGATACAATGAAACATGGTGAAAAGTCAGATAGATGGTACAGATATTCTAGTTTAGCAAATATGATTTAAAGTATCATTAGTTGTGTTCAAGTACCTTTGGTATGCTGTAATTTTTGGTTCTTTCAATTAACAGGATGTTTCAGTTAGACTCTGAGATATACTAAAGATGGAATATAAACTTTCTTCTAGGCTAATAATTATGTCTTCTCTATGTTTCATGCACAGAACATATGATAAATATTTTGAGAGTATTTTGCATGAGTAGCATAAATATCACATAGTAACATGATGAAAGTATCTGCAAAAATGTGTGTGCATCTATTTGTCTAACTTGTATGTTTGTGTAGAAACCATTTGGGCAAACAAATTATGCAATTATGCACAAATGTTATTTTATGCAAGAAATTCTTATTTTCTTGTGAACTGGTGCAGCTTTGCATAGAATGAGGACACAGGTGGTGTGTTAGATACTTCACCTGTTATTCATTAAAATGTCACTTAGAGTGCTGCTTTTTATCATGTGTATTTTTTCAGTTTGAACAGTAGTGTTTGCAATTATCATCATTCACTTACATAAATTACATTGTGCACACACATGTCCCACAGTAATGATACATTTTTTTCAAAAATGGCATGTGAATATCAATAATTAGTTACATTAATATGCTGCAATTTAGCAGAGTTCTAAACAGAAGCTTTCCAATACTGTTAGATGCATTTGATTTGACATCATAAATCCTCTCTTTAGGAGTTATCATGCAATACCAGCTGGAACTGGCATAAGATCATATGCATGAAAGTGAACCTGGTATAAGTTTGAAGCATTTCTACAGGAAAAATATAATAGGACTTTGAGAAGGAAAACTGATACATCACTTGCAAAATATGAACAAACATAGTAGATGATCAACATCTTTTAGACCTGAAGACTAGTTTCTGGGAAAATTCTACTCTTGAATTTTGGCTGAGTTCTGAACATTTTGAATTCTAGAAGAGACTATGAGAAAATCGTAAAGTTATATCAGATATCTGGACAAGATTCAATTGTGTAGCTACTAAAACAGTTATCTTTTCTTTTTCATTTTTGTTTTTAAATATCTTTTATATTTCATGTCTCTCATCACCATCTATGTCTCTTGTCAAAATACTAATTGCATGAGTATATGAACCTGGTGAAGTAATATGGCAGAAAATGAAGGCATTTGCCCCATTGTGATTTACAGACAAGTTATATTGAAAATGGGTTAAAATTTGGAGCTATGAGGAAATGGCTTCTTGTGGCAGGCAAACAAATAAATTGACATACACAAATGGTATAGCAAGGTCCGTATCAGGACTGCAGAATACTCAGACTCTAATGGTAGACTTGAAATAGCTCTATGACTAATAAAGTTCTTAATTTTTCTCATCTAGGAGTTTAGCCAATACTAATGAATTTGACAATTACATTATGAAATGCATTAATGTTACTGTTGGAACAATCTGCATGCAGCCACCAGAAATCTTAATGTTGGTTTTAACAAGTGAGTCTTAAAATTTGTCTAGGCATTGAATTTCTATTTCAGACTGACCTTAGAACTCCTTATATAATTATTAAATATTTATAGATATCTATTTGGATAATTTTTAGTACTTTTTCACTTTCTGCATTTTATTGAAATTTTCAGTTTGATTCATCATCAAACCCAGATGCTTGGACTTTTTTAGCTGGACTTTTCCAGATCAATACATCGTACGTGCCTAGATTTCTTCTGGAGAGATTTTAATTTCTTCCAGTTTAGTTGGCCTCATGCAAATCTTGAAACACACCATTGTTACAGAATAGCAGAGCAATGTCTTTCCATCTTTCCTGGGAAAGAAAAAAAGGTGTTAAAACTATGACATGAGAACCTTAGCCCAGGCATTCATTGCACATTGAGTTATGGTTGAAGTCTGCAATTTAAAAGATGAAAATTTATTCAGTTGTTAGTTATTTTGTATTCCAAGAAATGTTCAATATATATGACTGTAATAACATGGCTGCTTATATCAGCTTCTCTGTGACTTCATTCAAGAGAGAAGGTTTAAACACTTCAGAATTGAAACCCTACTTATTTGTCTGCCATGAGATTCTGTGTATCCCTACAGGGCAATGCCATTATTACAAAGCCAACTAGCTTAAGCAGACAATTATCTACTTTATGAAACTATTTGTGAGTTGATAAACCTCTTCCTCTCGTTTACATTTCAGGAAACGAATCAGATACATCTATTCACAGCTGGTCCATCAGCCTTTTTATCTTCATGCCCGCTGCTTCTGTTTTCTGCTTGCTTGTTTTTCAGACCCTGTCCTGTGAAGCATTTATGAATGCTGCCTTTTATAAGTCTACTGGCAAGTCAGCAACGAATACAGTATTTTGGCAAAGCTCATTTGATATGTAGAAAGAAAAAGTGTTTTTGAAATAATTCTTTGTAACTAAGAAAAGGGCATGATTTAAATCATAATCATCCAATTAATAATCATGCTTCAAAGTAATTTGGATTGTTAGTAGAAAAACAAACAAATGATACTATGTATTTGAATTGGATTCTTACAAATTTAGAACACATTTTTTTGCTCTTTATTGCTATATTGGT